ATGAGCCAAACCAGCTGCCAAGAATTATATCAAGCATCTAACAAGATCATGAAAAAATGGAGCCAGCCACAAAACATTTGCATCAAAGCTTTTGGCTGGCTAGCCAGCCTTTCTACAGGGTGCGGGCTAGCCCATCCAAATCTATTTGCATCATAGCACCAGAAAAAAAAGGACATTTGTCACGAAAAACAGGCCAAATCCCACGAACAGATCTTTCGTGACATGCGGAAACCGCCCGCGAGCGAGACTGGCGCGATACACGCTCGTGACAGGCGGAAACCGCCCGCGAGCGAGACTGGCGCGGTGGACGCTCGTGACAGGCGGGAACCGCCCGCGAGCGAGACTGGCGCGGTGGACGCTCATGACATGGGGAAACCGCCCGCGAGCAAGACTGGCACGGTGGAGGCTCGTGACATGCGGAAACCGCCCGCGAGCGAGAGTGGACGCTCGTGACATGCGGAAACCGCCTGCGAGCGAGACTGGCGCGGTGGACGCTCGTGACATTCGGAAACCGTTCGCAAGCGAGCAAGACTGGCGCAGTGGACGCTCGTGACATGCGGAAACCGCCCGCGAGCGAGACTGGCGCGGTGGACGCTCGTGACATGCGGAAACCGCCCGCGAGCGAGACTGGCGTGATGGACGCTCGTGACATGCGGATTAAACCGCCCGCGAGCGAGACTGGCGCGGTGGAGGCTCGTGACATGCGGAAACCGCCCGTGGGCGAGACGAGACTGGCATGCGGTGGACGCTCGTGACATTCGGAAACCGCCCGCGAGCGAGACTGGCGCGGTGGACGCTCGTGACATGCGGAAACCGCCCGCGAGCGAGACTGGCGCGGTGGACGCTCCTGACATGCGGAAACCGCCCGCGAGCAAGACTGGCGCGGTGGACGCTCGTGACATGCGGAAACCGCCCGCGAGCGAGACTGGCGCGGTGGACGCTCGTGACATGCGGAATCCGCCCGCGAGCGAGACTGGCGCGGGGGACGCTCGTGACATGCGGAAACCGCCCGCGAGCGAGACTGGCGCGGTGGACGCTCGTGACATGCGGAAACCGCCCGCGAGCGAGACTGGCGCGGTGGACGCTCGTGACATGCGGAAACCGCCCGCGAGCGAGCGCCCGCGAGCGAGACTGGCGCGATAGACGCTCGTGACAGGCGGAAACCGCCCGCGAGCGAGAATGGCGCGGTGGACGCTCGTGACAGGCGGGAACCGCCCGCGAGCGAGACTGGCGCGGTGGACGCTCGTGACATGGGGAAACCGCCCGCGAGCGAGACTGGCGCGCCCGCGAGCGAGACTGGCGCGGTGGACGCTCGTGACATGCGGAAACCGCCCGCGAGCGAGACTGGCGCGGTGGACGCTCGTGACATGCGGAAACCGCCCGCAGCGAGACTGGCGCGGTGGACGCTCGTGACATGCGCAAACCGCCCAAGCGAGACTGGCGCGCTCGTGACATGCGGAAACCGCCCGAGCGAGACTGGCGCGGTGGACGCTCGTGACATGCGGAAACCGCCCGCGAGCGAGGTGGACGCTCGTGACATGCGGACACCGCCCGCGAGCGAGACTGGCGCAGTGGACGCTCGTGGCATGCGGAGACCGCCCGCGAGCGAGACTGGCGCGGTGGACCCTCGTGACATGCGGACACCGCCCGCGAGCGAGACTGGCGAGGTGGACGCTCGTGACATGCGGAAGCCTCCCGCGAGCGAGACTGGCGCGGTGGACGCTTGTGACATGCGGAAGCCGCCCCCGAGCCAGACTGGCGCGGGGGAGGCTCGTGACACGCGGAAACCGCCCGCGAGCGAGACTGGTGCGGTGGGCGCTCGTGACATGCGGAAACCGCCCGGGAGCGAGACTGGCGCGGTGGACGCTCGTGACAGGCGGAAACCGCCCGCGAGTGAGACTGTCGCGGTGGACGCTCGTGACAGGCGGAAGCCGCCCCCGAGCGAACTGGCGCGGTGGACGCTTGTGACAGTGACAGGCGGAAACCGCCCGCGAGCGAGACTGCCGCGGTGGACGCTCGTGACATGCGGAAACCGCCCGCGAGCGAGACTGGCGCGGAGGACGCTCGTGACATGCGGGAACCGCCCGCGAGCGAGACTGGCGCGGTGGACGCTCGTGACATGCGGAAACCGCCCGCGACTTAAGACTGGCGCGGTGGACGCTCGTGACATGCGGAAACCGTTCGCGAGCAAGACGGGCGCGGCGGACGCTCGTGACATGCGGAAACCGCCCGCGAGCGAGACTGGCGCGGTGGAGGCTTGTGACATGCGGAAACCGCCCGCAAGCGAGACTGGCGCGGTGGACGCTCGTGACATGCGGAAAAACGCCCGCGAGCGAGACTGGCGCGGTGGACGCTTGTGACATGCGGAAACCGCCCGCGAGCGAGACTGGCGCGGTGGACGCTCGTGACAGGCGGAAATCGCCCGCGAGCGAGACTGGCGCGGTGGAGGCTCGTGACATGCGAAAAACCGCCCGCGAGCGAGACTGGCGCGGTGGACGCTCGTGACATGCGGAAACCGCCCGCGAGCGAGACTGGCGCGGTGGACGCTCGTGACATGCGGAAACCGCCCGCGAGCGAGACTGGCGCGGGGGACGCTCGCGGTGGACGCTCGTGACATGCCGGCGAGCGAGACTGGCGCGGTGGACGCTCATGACATGCGGCAACCGCCACGTGCGCGGCTCCATGTGTGAACAGCCCGGCGCTCCAGGTGCGCCGTAATTGTCCTTTTTGCCGCACACCTGACCCGAACAAACGGTGCCAATGTGTTTCTAGGACGAACCCTCTCTGCAGAAGCTGTAGCCTCTTGGGGTTCGCTCACTTATTTGGAAGCAGCCTGGAAGCACGTTGACATGAATATGCTGAGCACACTCGGCCCAAACAAAAGGGCGCATGAACATCCGAACAGCTGACCCCGGTCTACGCAGATCGTGGTAACACTGTGTCTCAGACTTGTTTTGGACAGGCGTCAGACCCACCAAGTGACCGAGGCTTGTCCACACCGAGCCCCCCGCAAAAGCGCAGCGCCGGCCCCGTCTCCACACACCTGCGGCGAATCCACCCAACTTGCCATCCACACGCGTCCAATTGACAACATGCGCGGCCCTTTCCACAAAGTCACCAGTTGCAATTGGTTGCGAATGGGAAAATAGGTGGAGAAACTAACGAATCCAAGCAAGCTTACGAAGCAAGTTTGTGAAGGTCACGTGCACGGCTCCATGTGAACAGCCCGGCGTTCCAGGTGCGCCAAGATTGTCCTTTTTGCCGCACACCTGACCCGAACAAATGGTGCCAATGTGTTTCTAGGACGAACCCTCTCTTCAGAAGCTGTGGCCTCTCGGGGTTCGCCCTACTTATTTGGAAGCAGCCTGGAAGCACGTTGACATGAATATGCTGAGCACACTCGGCCCAAACAAAAGGGCGCATGAACATCCGAACAGCTGACCCCGGTCTACGCAGATCGTGGTAACACTGTGTCTCAGACTTGTTTCAGACAGGCGTCAGACCCACCAAGTGACCGAGGCTTGTCCACACCGAGCCCCCCGCAAAAGCGCAGCGCCGGCCCCGTCTCCACACACCTGCGGCGAATCCACCCAACTTGCCATCCACACGCATCCAATTGACAACGTGCGCGGCCCTTTCCACAAAGTCACCAGTTGCAATTGGTTGCGAATGGGAAAATAGGTGGAGAAACTAACGAATCCAAGCAAGCTTACGAAGCAAGTTTGTGAAGGCCACGTGCACGGCTCCATGTGAACAGCCCGGCGTTCCAGGTGCGCCAAGATTGTCCTTTTTGCCGCACACCTGACCCGAACAAATGGTGCCAATGTGTTTCTAGGACGAACCCTCTCTTCAGAAGCTGTGGCCTCTCGGGGTTGGGTGGGGTTGGGTGGGGTTGGGTGGGGTTGGGTGGGGTTGGGTGGGGTTGGGTGGGGTTGGGTGGGGTTGGGTGGGGGTGTGGTGGGGGGGTGGGGGTTGGTGGGGGTTGGGTTGGGTTTGGGTGGTGGGGTTGGTGGGGTTGGTGGGGTGGTGGGTGGTGGGGTGGGGTGGTGGTGGTGGGGGGTGGGGTGGTGGTGGTGGGGTGGTGGGGTGGTGGGGTGGTGGTGGGGTGGTGGGGTGGTGGGGTGGTGGGGTGGTGGGGTGGTGGGGTGGTGGGGTGGTGGGGTGGTGGGGTGGGGGGGTGGTGGGGTGGTGGGGTGGTGGGGTGGTGGGGTGGTGGGGTGGTGGGGTGGTGGGGTGGTGGGGTGGTGGGGTGGTGGGGTGGTGGGGTGGTGGTGGGGTGCTGATAAATTCTTTACACCGGATTCTGTGAAACTGGCCATCTGTAGCCCAAATTTGAAGATCTGGCCATTCGGCCGCTTCTGGCCGCAAATCCTTGATAAAACGGCCATTGAGGCTGGCCGCCTTGATAAAACGGCCATCGGCCTTGATAAAATGGCCATCGGGCTTGGCCAGCCTTGATTAAACCTACTTATTTGGAAGCAGCCTGGAAGCACGTTGACATGAATATGCTGAGCGCACTCGGCCCAAACAAAAGGGCGCATGAACATCCGAACAGCTGACCCCGGTCTACTCAGATCGTGTTGTAACACTGTGTCTCAGACTTGTTTCAGATGGGTGTAGAGCGAGCTTATGCCTTGCTTCCAATTTGGGAGTGGTAGTTTGTGCGGATCCATTTTCGGATTTCTGCGATTGGTTCTTCATGATGAATCGGATGACTTCGTGCCTTCCATGTAGTGCGGGGCCTGTCATGTTTCACCCGTGCCTTTGCCTTTTTCTCTGTGCTTGGTCAGAGCACAGGCTGCTGGCTGCCAATCCGGCTTGAGTCGCGGTTGCTCCCCTTCTTCATCTGTTTTGGGGTTGATTTCCCAACTGTGAACAACTTAAATCTTGGTTTGCCTTCGGAGCCTTGAGCCGGAAAACAACGGGATCCACATGCCCGGGCTCCTCTTGTTTTTTTCTAAAACACCGTTGCCGGGGGAGCTGTTTGGGCCCGTTTGCAGGGGAGCCTCCACGAGATGGCGGTGACGCAGCCGGCCGCGCCCTCTGTGGAGACCGTGGGGGAGGCGCCGCCCAGCGTGGAGGCCGCGGTGGCGGCGTCCTCCGCGCCGGCCGGTGCGGGGGCCCGGGGTGCGGGCCATGGCGCTCAGTCAGGGTTCCACAAAATGAAGCTCAATATGATCCCAGTTTGCCATGGCGCTCAATCTGGCGCTCAATTTTGAGAAATGCTGACCCCAGATTGATGAAGCCCTGCTCAGAAAAAATGGCTGCTCAAAAAAGTGGGACCAAAATGACATTTAACACATCCAGGTATAAGCGGAGAAGGACAACTTGTGGAGAAACAGCGTGCTCTGAAACAACATGCCTGGAACTCCGACAAAAAATGCCTCAAGCACGAGCAAGGCTGGGGGAGGATGAATGAAGCGCTGCTCATCAATATGGCCATGAGTCCATGATTTTTGATGGGGAACCCCCTGAAAAGTGGCTGGTGGACATAGATCCCCACCTAAATGATGTCCACCAAAGGGCCCCCGATTGAAATTTATACCCATAAAGGGTGTTTTTGGGTGAAATGTGGGGATTCGGGCCACTTTAGTGGAACGCCCCCCCATATTAGTAAGCTGGGGTTGATGAATATGGGTCAAAATTACCCCAGGGGCTTCAACCCAGGAATGCTTCATTACCCCCAAAAAGAGAAGCAGTGGGTTGAAATCTAGCTTGTAGTCAAAAGCTTGCTGGAGCGAGATGCAGGGAATGAGAAATGGAGTCTGACCCCGCAATCAGCCATCCCTTGCTGGTGGCTTCGCTTAAGGGCGTGGTTCATTCCCACATTCCCCACTGAGCAACAGCACGTTTTGGACAGGGTAGGGTTTTCCATCCTTGAAGGTTTCAGTCTGCCCGGTAGTCAAAAGCGGAACTGTGCCTGTTCCAAGCCATCCAAAAAAGGGTGCCCTCAAAAAGAAGGACATGGGTCCCCCACTCTTCTCATGGGTCCCACGTCCCAACGGAGGCTTCCGTCGACGAGAGGAACTGGTGACGAAACGGTTCCAGCCCCTTTTTCAAGGCAACCCACGAAACCCATGGATCGAAAGAAAGGTGCAACCTCACTTGGCAACTTAGCTTACCTCATAGGGGCTGTCCACAAGGAGCCATGGTTAGTGACAAGGGGGGGGGGGGGATCTAAATGGACATGTGGGCATGAAATTGGAAACCCCCGTGTTTGGTGGACAGAAATGCTCACCCAATGGGCGTCCAGTCCGGGTTCCCAATCGAAATTGATAAGCTTCGAACCAAAAGCGGCCAGGGACCAGGCGTATCGACGTGGCTCTTTGGCTTTTCTCTTTCCGCCATCCACGGGCCTCAAAACCGCGTGCTTTTTTGTTTTGCTTCCGTCGGCTGAACCTGGACGTCCCATGTTCAAGCAGTTTCCCGAGCCACAAGTTTCGATCATTTCAAACCAGTACAAGGATCAATTTTTGATTTGGTGAAATCTGGCGACCCTTTTTTTTCAGATTGCCCTTCGCCATTTTTTCTGAGTGCCAAAAAACGGCGGCATCTCCCGGGCAAGGTTCCAGTGTTTTTGCTGCTAAAAGTACATGCCCCTGACTTCTGTGATTGCTTTTTCAATTTCCAATGTTGGGGCTAGACAGACCCACTTCTACACCCAAACACTGGACAGGCACAGGATGCCCCTCAGCATTTTTGATCGAAGCCGAAGAAGTGCAGGTCTTCAAGGGAAACCAGCCTACCGGAGTCTCAAGATCCCACACAAGATTGCCTTTTACCCACCAAAAAACCAGCGTGGAATGTGTCCTGCCGGTTTGGCAGCTCTGGGTCAGCTTGGGTAAGCGCCGGGGCGCCGGGGCGCTGGGTGCTTTGGAACACCCGAGGCGAGGGGAAGCCAGATGTTGTCATGACCGAGGCGCGCACGTCGTCAAGAGTTGTTCTCTTCTAACTAACAAGAAAACACAAGCATAAATAAATAAATAAATCAATAAATAAATAAATATATATATAATATGTATATATATATACATATATATATATATGACTCCAATCCTTTTGGTTGGTATCCAAAGGGAAGCTATCTCAAAGTGGATTTTGGCCACCCATCTTTTGGTCGGCATGTTAAATCGAACAAGGACACCGTTGCCATAGGACGTGAAGTGAATCCTATTCGGAGAACGGGTCCACTTTTAGGTCGGGTAACATAGGGATGGCTTGTAAGTCAGGTAATTCGCCTGCTGGTTCAACCGACGAAGTTGGCAACTTGGATGACCCAACTTAGATGAGTCACTGGGCATGGTCAGACGGTGGATGGACGAAATCCATTTCGCACCACTTTGGAAGCATGGAAAAAGCCATTGTTTGTTGGCATGTACAGGGCGATTGTATCATTCCAGGGCTTCTTAGGTGGAGCGAAACATTCTGTCCATCCACGGTATTAACCCAACCACTGTTTGGTCTGTCCATCCACAGTATTAACCCAACCATTGTTTGAAA